ACCATTATTAATTTTTAAATCTTAACAAACCTAGACTTAAATAAACATAGATCTTAACATTAAAAAAATAAATATATCAAAAATTTTGAATAAATAAAAGGTTAAACATTAAGTATTCCAGAATATTAGGATTAGCTGAGTAAACAAAAATTTCTTATACTTCCATAATCAATACATCTTTTTTTGTTTGAAGTATAAAGTTTAACAGATAGATAATTAACAAATGTTGCTCAAAATGATTAAATCACTAAGGTTGAAAAATATTTTAGCACAAAATATACGTAAAAAAAAATTATAAAATATATACTATATACTCAATATTTTAATGAAACTAAATAAATTCTTAAATTGAAAAAAAAACTGAATCGTGTACATAAAAAAAATAATATAAATTTTAGATTATTAAATGCCATTTCTAATGTACTGAGTGGGTAATAGTTGACAAATCATTGAACTGAATATTTTTTTTTTAACATAAAGCTTAATACACATTGAGATGGTTCAGGAATAACATTTTTATTTTCAACAGCAATTTTTAGAACTTCTAAACATCTACCGACATCTTTCCGTAGTTGGAATTTTTTATCTTCACTTTTAATAAGTCCATGTTTTACTAACAATAAATTTGTTAAGTCAACAAATTTTAATTCTTTGGTGGCATTAGTATATGCTGTTTTATACAACTCAAAACACTTATCCAATGTTACTTGATCATTTGCATTTTGATAACGACCAGCAATATCCATTAGTTGATCAACTAATATTTCAAAACTAACATCATCAGTAGAATTTTTTGTCAATTTAATCTCGCCAACAGTCATATCTTTCATTATATCAGCAGTTTTATCAGCATCAGAAGTAGAAATATTGTCTTCTTCAGTATCTGTTGAACTCTCTTCAGCTTCTTCATTTTCATTTTCTTCTTCAGAAGAACATTCACCTTCATCGCCACTGAATGATCCCAAAGTTTTGTCTTTGTTGGAATCTTTCAGTGTATTTGAGATTATTTCAATAGTTTCTATTCCAAACCTATTACCATTAATATTATACTCTTTTAAGTTTATCTTGTCACATAGTGCTTTTGTTAATATCACCCCACTTTCACCATTGATTTCATTATAACTTACATCCACATTTTCAAGGGATTCATGAACATTTAAAGCTTCTGCAATCGCCAAAGCACCTTTAGATTTTATTAAACAATCAGCAATATTCAAACGTTTCAGATTTTTTAATTTTGGCAGAACATTGGCTAATGCTTCTGCTCCTAGTACAGTTAATATATTATCTTGAACATCCAAAACTTTTAAATTTGGATTTTGTAGTAAACTCTTAGATAATGCTAAAATGCCTTTGCAATAAATTCCATTTTGAGGGATTGTTATTTCTTCCATTGTCTTAACAAGACTAAAGAATTGAGACAAAGCAATGATACCTTCATTTTCTAACCGGTTTCTACCTGCTACAAGTACTTTAAGGTTAAATGGAGTACCAGCTTTGGTACTAGCATGGTAATTATCAGTCAATGCTTTTGCAAGCATTTTTGCTCCACTAATTCCTAATCCATTATTCATTAAACGTAATGTTTGTAATTCATAACACACAGGTGAATTCAATAGCTTAACTAATCCTTTCATACCGATTGGTCCAAAAGCATTATTACTTAAATCAAGTTCAGATAAACGTACATTTGCTGTTAATAAACCAGCTGATAAATGTTCCAGAACTATTGGAATTTCAGATTTAAGTCGTCCAGTAAACATATCTTGCCATAATGCATGTTTAAGGAGAGACCCATGTTTAGCAATAGCATGACCAATTTCTTTAGCAGCATCAATACCTAAAGTATTTCCTTGAAGGTTGAAAAAAACCAGGCACCGACATTTTTCGATTGCTGAAACTATAGTTTTGGCATCTTCAGCAGAATTGAGTGAAAGAGATTGATCAGCAAAACTTAATCCCATGTCTTCCATCTTTTAATTAGATTTGAGTTGAACAAAATGAAAAGATTTGTTGTCAACTAATGGTTTTTGATTGTAGTTTTTATATAATCTGAAACGTACCAATGTCCTAAGTTGGTCGTTTGTAAATGTAAACAAAAATGCAAAAAGCTAATAACCTAAGATTTTATTGAATGTGTGCTAATATGTATTTAAGCTGATTGTAAGTAAACGAAATAATTGATTACTTATAAATCTCTAGGTACTTGAAAATAGAAAATGCAGGTACAAGCAGATAGATAAAAAAAGGCCAAAACCTTAATAAAAATAAATACTAGATGCAGTAGCTTACCCGAATCAGTAATAATTAAGTCATTAAGTATATACCTACCTAATTAAACAAATATTAACAAGATAGGTATAATAAATATAACTAAACCGTAAGAAAAAGAGATTTTAAAAATATTTCATCATAATATCTTATAATCTTAGAAATAAATCAACCTACAAATAGTTACACTTATATATATTTTTATAACATTTATGATGTACCTATAAAAATTATTAGTTTGATTTATGTCCTGTAATAGTATGTAATCACAATACTTTAATTAAACAATATTGATTTTGTATGAATTATTTTTAATTTTTTTAAGTTAATTTAGTATTTATTTATATATTGAAATATTATACGGGTTTAGATCCAATTACCTACAAATTAACAATGTAGAATGTAAACAACATAATACAGTTAAATTGTTTTTTCATATAGATACATACTTAATTCACTCACAATGAATAAAAAAAATTCAGTTATCATATCATCATTCAAATTTGATAGCACAAATAAAAAATATAGGTGAATAGGTATTTTGTGATATTTAATATATGCCTATTACAAAATCCAAATTGATTACTGTTATATGGATTACACATACCATCTAATTTTATCTAATTTGGTTTTAAATACAAGACAGATGGTTTTTTTTAATTTTAGAAGTAGTTGACTACCAAGCATAGATAAGTATAATACACCAAGTAACTAAGTACCCAGTATGTTTTTAATACTTGCTCTAAAATTATAGAGATAGGTAAAATGTCTAAGAATGATTAATGTATAAAATATAGGTAGTAAATATTTTATTTTAGAACTAAATTAAAAAATGTACAATTCAATTAAATGAGGATATATGTATGAAACATTTAAACCCCACAGTGTTTTTTAACGTTAAGTACCAAGTTAAAATGTGAATGAAGTTATGAACATACCTATTGATAAGTTTTTAATAATTACCTATGCTAAATTGGACAACTAATACAATTATTGTTTATGACAAAAAAGAAATTGAGTTAAATAGAGAGTAATTAAAATTTATTATACAAAAAAATCAAAATGATTCCATTGAGTTAATTCAAATAGTTGACTACAATTAGGTATAAATCAAAAACGGCGAAATTAATCAGGCATCTAATCTAACATAAAATCCTAACCTCAATTCATCCAAAATTATGATTAAAACAGTCGTCAAGACATTCCTAATATAAATATGAATGGCGTATGGACTACCTATAGCCATAACATTCAAGAAATGTTGCTCAAGGTTCTTTTTGAATAAAATTCGTATGGTATCTGATAAAGAGGAGAGGATAGGAACGTGGTGCGGCCTCCCATGCCCAGGCATGGAGACCGGTACGAGAGCGTACGTAATTTAATGGAGCGCATTCAAAGTCCGTCTGCATGAAACAGTGCAATAATTAATAATAGTTTTTCCACTAGATTCGGGTATGAATTTTGATAGCGATGGAATAACACAACCTACCATTTTCATTCTACCAATGGCTTATCCAGTTAACACAAGAACGTTCAATTAAAAATCTAAAGGTGTTTTATTGTAATCATGAATGTTTTTAATTGATGTAGTAAAGCTCACCTTAAGCAGACAACCTGAGAACCGTCAAGAAAGGCTGGAATTCGTCGCACGGATTGAAAAATCGTATGTAATGAAGCCTCGGGAATGTTCTAGAAGCGCCAGAACAAGCACGCTATAGAATACAGGCGACGCACGAACAGCAGCTGAACGCGGTTTCACGGAAATGACAATTCAGTGTGCCAGCGCTCGTATCGTCCTCAGTCAGTCAGTCGGCGGCAAAGGGGCGGCGTTATTTTCACAAGTGGTGCAATACGAATAAGCCCAATAGGGTGGCAATAGGTGAGGAAGTAGAAGGGTCAGAGTACCGGCTGTCTAGTGTGACCAACCAACCAACGGTTTATTCTCACACAGCAGCTGCCAGCACGAAAAGTGTTTTAATTTTTGGTACACACTGTCTAGACCTCGATGTTTTTATCGGCCTGTCCTCGTCACGATAAACGGATAATGAAATTTCAGATTATTGAATTATTGTATATCAACAGTGTGCACGTTAAGTCCAACAGACTTATAAAAGTATTAACTATAAGGGAGTTTATTAAACTACTTTTTTGGTCTATGATCTATATGAATTATGAATGTATCTATAATGTTCTATGATTGTCTATCGACCTATCGTTGATTTTTAATAAAAATAGTATTAATCAGAACCACGATTTAAGATATTTCTTAGTCCGCGCTCAGAACTAATATACATATATAGTATGTTGTTCCGAATATGGTCGCACTGTTCTTGTCGTCGATCACCGATTCCGGGTTTTTTTAGCGTCTCTGACCTCTGTATAATTCTATATTCCATAATCTATAAGCGACCAACGTCCGCCGTCCATGTTCAAGCGTCTTCCCAGATCTTCAGATCTAATACATTTTTTTTTTTGCTTTTTCTAAATGTCATTGATTTTCAGTCACTCTGTGATAGACGAACGAAATAAGATTTGCACATTTTGCTAGAACAATATCGTGCTCTTCATCGAATTTTAATGGCTCAATGTATTGTAAATAATATGTAACTAAATTATATTTCGTTAATCAGCTGTTCCTTAACGTTTTTGTCGAGGACCACGGGTCACACTTGCGCTTTGATAAAACTTTCATTATACAATTTGTATTATACAAATAATTTGTTGTAGGTACTCATGTTCGTGTAGTAATTCTCAGTTGTTTAATTAAAATTGTACTATCCTTATTTTGAATTTTTGAATTAATCAAATTATTAAAAAGCAATAAGCGTTAGAATTATGTTCCTATTGTATGGTTTGTTTTTTTTATTTTAATAAATTGTAAGTAAATAACTGAAGATTCGCGATATATGTTATAGTTGGTGGTAAGCTCTCAAAAAACATGACCGAACAAGTAGAAGTTAAAGGTAAGTAATTACACCAAACAAATTGATCACTATTATGTATTAGGAAGTGAGTGACATATTTTGAATATGTTTATCGAATGTACTTAAAATGATTCGTTCATTATTATATAAATTTGATGTTGGCACCCACCTACAATAGGTATATTCATTTTGTCTAATAGAGACTACAAGGATTTTTCTATACAATTATACTTAGAAAAATAGCCTGGGTTCCTGGTTCACATTATGATATAATTTTAGGAACCTTATAGGTATTTTTATCAAAATATTGTGTCTACTCAATTGTATAAACGTATTTATTACTTCTATAAGTCCTATTTTAAGGGTCTATCTGTGACCTTATCTAGTAAGTTTTGATTAAAATATTGTAAGATTTAAATATGATGTAACTTTTTAATGGCACAATTCTATTTTTTAGATAGTGAATCAGTTTTTCAATTATTTTTTATAAAGGTACTAAATAATAAATATATATAAGCTTACAATGATTTTTATTTGTTCACTTAGCTTAGGTATTCTTAAAATAATTTAATACTACATGTTTGTTTCATGACATAACCTGCTGATAGTCAAGAGCAGTGGTTGGCAACTGGCGGCCCGCGTGTCTATTGTATATGGCCCGCTTTAAACTATACGACAACCAAATTTAATTGGATATCAAAATAAAAAATCATTTTTTATAAATATAATTGAATGTGTCTATCAGTTGTCAGTTAAATTTGTTGAAGCTTTTTCGATACTTCAATAAGAATTTAATAATCGATTTCAAGATTTGAAATGACATTCACAATATTTTCAACTACTCCTTTAATAACCTTTAATATTGATGTTGACGTTGAGCTTCAAATGGAAATAATAGATTTTGCAGCCACAAGAAATCTTAAAAGATGCATTCAAAGCATCGCCTTTACTTTTTTTCGCTGAACTTCCTGCATCATTTTCAAAAATTAAAAATACAGCTGCAAAATACTTCAGTATGTTTGGATCCACTTACGTGTGAACAGGCCTTTTCTCATATGAAAAAAATTAAAAATCCATACCGTTCACGCTTAACTGATGACCATCACCACCATGCACTTAGAGCCAACATAAGTAATTTTAATGTGAAAATTGAAAAAAGTAATAAATAATTAGCAGTTGTAATTTCCATACTTTTGTGTTATAATTATACTATTAAAAACTGTAATTTTTATGTTCTATTATTTTAACGTTTTAAATAATTATTATTTGTCATTATGAATAATTTGGAATATAAAATTTTTATTTTTGCCTGGCCCACGAACTCTTATTAATTTATGAATGTGGCCTGGGAGTCAAAAAAGGTTGCCGACCACTGGTCTAAAGAAACAAAATGTATTACCTTTGTGATGACTGATGAGTTAGGTACTTATGCTGAATATTAAAAATCAAAAGAAAATCTTTATTTTGACAATTATTAAATAGGTACAAGTATAAAATATAGATTTAAAAAAAGTTTATTACATTGCCTGATTAACAGTTTTGTTAAAATAACAATATAACCGGCTATCTTGTCATATTCACTCACAGATTTTGATTTTAATGCACATACTCAATATACTAAGTAATTATAGGTAATTTTATTGTAGTTGTTAAGATATATTCTAAATTGTATAAAAGTATAGTAGTTTCTACCTATACAATTGTTTTTAAATATATTTTATGTACATAATTATTTAAATTAATAATAACATAGGAATTCAGTTTAATTAATCAACTAATTGTATGATTTTTAGTTTGTATGTTGTAATTTTATTTATACCTGAGGCTTAAGGCTGTATAAAAAGTTCATAAGTAATAACCATTTGAATTGTAAATATTTCAGAAAATCTATTAACAAATGATCATGATACACCAGAAAGAGTGGTTAAGCCTTCTACATCAATTCCAAGATATCAACACAAATCAGGTAAATAATGTAAAAAAATAATAATGAAATAAAAAACTTTATATTGTCTATTTTTTGATTCTTTCCAATACTTCTTTAAAAGTCTCATACCAGCCCAAATTATCTTGAATATTCTTCTGTAGCTGCAGTGGTCGCTACATTTCAAGAGTTTCTATTTTTTTTTTTACGTTTCAATGCTATAAAGCATTTTACTTCCAACATATATTTTTGGAAGATTTTTTATGACACGTAGGCTAATATGTCTTGAAGTAATAAGTACAATTTTCAATTCAATGCTTTTTTAGCTTGACACACTCGTTTTATATTTTTTTTTAAATTTTTTTTTTCCTTCTCCCACCTGTACTTACGATATTCCCCAAGTATGTAAATTTGCTCTATTATTAGGTTTCCTCATAGATGTATTCTTCTCCTTAGCATTATTACTTATGCTACAAATAGGAACTTAAATCTTTTTCTTGTTATTTTCATTTAAGTTTATTAAACTTTGTTTCTTCCATAGTTCCTATGTACAAATTAACAATTAATTTAAAAAAAAAAATAATAATTATAATATTTTGCTCCTAGTTATTGGACATTAACTNCATATTTCGTGCATATCACTATTTAATATTAATTGATATTTTTGAAAACAAAATACAAATTTGAAATTACAAATAATTTATCGTTATTATGGATTTACTTTGAATTATATAAATATGTATATTAATGATATAATTTATAAAAATGTCTGTAGTGGCTCTGTACAAGATAATAGAATACTACGGATTTCGGGGGGGGCACGTGCCCCCGGTGCCCCCCCCTTGGCTACGGCACTGAATTGAAGTTATGCGACTTAACATAATATTTAAGTTCAAATATTTCAAATAAAATTTTATGAAAATTATTGTTTTTAATTTTTTGATTGTATCTAGTGTATTAAATTAAATTTGTATGATTTTAAATATTTATATAATTGTTATTTTTACTATTTTGTAGATAGCCAGACCAACAGTCCGATGTTTTTACGCCCATCATTATTGCCATCTTCCTCATCATTTGCTTTTGAGATAGGTCAAAGAAAACCGGATACTCCGAGACCTACTTCTAAGTCATTCTGTTTAAATCCATCTAGATTAAGTTTAAACACATCCACATCCACTCGTAAGTTGGTCATTGATTTTAAATAATTGATTAAGTGAATTATTTATTTATTTTTGTATGACTTATAAAGAAAAATATGAACATCAATAAAAGAATAAAATCTTAATTTTACACATAGTATAATATTATGTTATGCTACCTGTCTGTTTAGTAATTTCAGTATCTGGTGATGTCTGCCACCATTGTCAGGTTTTTTATCCAACCACTGGTTTATGATCCGTTCCTTCCTGTAGTTACATTTTCAATATCGCAGAGTTTTAATTTATACATTAGGCTATTGCATCTTTCTTTCCCCGTACGAAACCTGTTTAACTTCACCCACTGTTTTCTGTGGTATAGAAAATTTTTGTTTTTAGGGTAGACCTGGTTGGTACTAGTATTAAAGATAATTATTCTACTATTCTAATTCAGAACATAATATTCTTAAATTATTTTATCAATATCACTAATCTAGAGCTGTAGATATCTGCAGAATTTCTTACGCTTCCCATATAACATTTTCTATAAAATATTTTACCAAAATAACAGAATATTTAAGATTATAGATATAGACCAAATGACTGTTGAATAGACTTAAGAAATTTTGAGTGCATTGAAAAACAAATTAAAAAAATATCGTATATTAAGAAGTATTTTATTATTTTATAAAACATAGCAAAAACTTCAAGTTCTTCCAATCAAAATGATACAGAAACAGAAGAAACACAGTCTAAAAAAGAGGTGCCTATTCCATCACCTCCAGCTGTATTTGGTGCTGTTATTACCAAAAATCGCACACAAAAACCTGATGAAATTTCATTAGCTAGTGGTTTTATATTTGGTCAAAATCTTCATGAACGTGTAGAATTAAATAAAGAAGCTGATTCAACTTCAGAAGATGATAAGAAACCTAACGATACTCAAGAAGCTGAAGTTTCATCATCTTCAAATGTTATATCTCCTTCATTTGGAAATCTTAAAAATGACGAACCTAACGAAGTATTATTATTATATAAGTATTTATATTTGTATGCAACTTAAACTATTGCATTTTTATTTTTTAGAATGGCAGACTAGATGAAACTGTAGAAGAATCTAAAAGAAGATTGGTGGAAGCTGCTAAAGAATATGAAGAATCACGTGCAACGAAACGAAAGTATGAAGAAGTTGATTGTATGACTGGAGAGGAAAATGATGTAAACGTATTTCAGCTAAATATATGTAAACTATATGTATATGATAATGCTAAATCCAACTGGGTGGAAAAAGGACGTGGACAACTACGTGTAAATGATATGGACGGAGGGCAGTCGTCAAGAGTAGTTATGCGAAGTAATGGAAACCTTAAAGTTATTTTGAACACTAAGGTAATATTTTAAATTGATTAAAACTGTTAGTTATTATGATTATTTATTTTTATTACATTTTTCTTTAGATTTGGGCAGACATGAAAGTTGAAAAAGTTAGTGAAAAAAGTGTTAGGCTCACTGCATTTGAAGAAGATTCAATTAAAGTGTTTCTTGTTCTTGGGCCTGCTAAAAGTATTGATGAATTTATACATGTATTACTGACGCGTGTAGAAAGACATAAAGAAGCGGATAGAAAAAGGAATCCTACTTCCAGCAAAGATGAAGATTCATTAGAGGGTACACTTGTCTAATATGCTGATAATATTATTTTTATCATAAAAATCAATATAAATAATATTTATGGTGAAAAATATTTTATTTCAGTTTTTTCCACAAAATATAATATGTTGTATTTATATAATTATATTTAAGAATAATCCATTTATAAGCAATCATAAATTTCGTATACCAGAAAAAAATACATTAAAAGTATTGTTAATGACTTTTATGATATTATTTATTTTCTGTTTTATTTGCTCAAGTTCCAATTAGAACTATTAATCAATTGTTACATTGTTCAATGTAGTTAAAAATGTATTTTACTAGTGCAGAATCAAGTTTAAAAGACAGATTTTGTACAAATTATTTGACATTTGTTGATTGAACTACATTTTAAATAGAGGTTTACTCATCAGATGTCAATCTAAAAAGTAACATTTAAATTTGACATGTTTTTCCTATTGTGTATTTAATTGGCTATGGCTATTTTCGCTGAAGCTATTAATATCGATAAAAAAAGATTATGTACCTGGCAAAACTATGTCCTAACTCGGTTGACATGGCTTAATTAAAATCTATATATTGGTATGATTGGAGAAATAGTTGTATCAGTTATTTTTATTCAATTAAGAGGACAAAGAAAAACATTTAAATTCATTTTTCAATCCCATACAAGCTAAACAAGCTAAGCCTTGTTTAATTAACTTGATTAATGAATGACCTAAGAATGTGATTTTATATTCAATGTAAAGTATATTGTAGAGACCCTAGATAATCTATTTGCACTACTTTAAAAGTCAAATACAAAGTGAATTATAAAATAAAAACCAACATTATGTCATACCCTCAAAAATATTACTCTCTATCGTTTTTATAATGCTTAATTTTACTCCAAGATTACTCAAAAACATAAAAAAAAATGATTCTGCTTAAATACGTTTTGTCTATATTGTATGTGGGCCAGAGAGGGAAAACAAATATTGGCATCCTCTTAACATAGACTATTTTATAATATAAAGAATTAAAAGTTAGGTTTGAGGAGGGGCTTTATAAAATATAAACAAAGAAAAACAAAAATGTATTATAATATTCATAATCCAAGTTAAAGTTAAAATAAATAATAAGTCATTTTTAAAAAGATTAATTCAGAAGACGCTGTACCCATATGTGTAGTATCCGTCTTGCAAGTGTACATGTTTAGTGTGGGATAGAACCATTTAGGCTGTAGTGATAGTTAAGACTCCAAATTCATAAACAATAAAGTTGAGAACATTATCTGTGAAATTTTATTATTATTTTTTTGATATCACTTTTACGAAATAAGTTCTTATTGTTTCAAAATTCATTATTTTTGTATTTCCTAAACTTATCTTGTACAACTTTTTTTGTGCTTCCGATATTGAAAAAAATAACCAATGTTTTACAGCAAAATGTCGCCTTTTCATGTGGTGAAAATTTCAATTCTTAGTTTAAGAGTTGATGACTAGCCTTAATATTGGTTCTTTCCCGCAGAAAACAAGTTTTTGCCACCAATGATTTACATTTGTAAGACGGGACAACACATGAGAGTGTAGCGTCCTCTTAAGTTAATTTTTATAAAATAACTTCTGAAATCACTTCTTTGTTGTGTGAAAAAATTAACAGATTATATGTACACGTTTATGCAATTTGATATGGTACCAAATCTTTTGAAAAATTGATATGATTTTTTTCATCACATTCTTATTACAAGAGTGAATGATCTATCATTCAATTTTGAGGTAGAAATAAATTCTAGGGTTAAGACTTATGATATTTTTTCTTTGCTTAAGTTACTATATTACTCAACTGTTACATTTTTGATGCGATATAAGATGTATTCTACGAATCCATAATTAAATTTAAACATTGATTTTGTACAAGCTATATTTGACATTTGTTCATTATTCAAGAATCTAGAAGATCGTTTTACATAGAACAAAATATTAGTAGGGAACACGTGTTTCCAGATGTTTATAATTGGTTGAAAGTTGTTTTAAACACTTCATGAGCTCTGCTAATTTTGAAGGAGCTACTCATTAGTCATTGAAGTGCTGTCTTAAAACCTGGCTAAGACCTAGACGAGGATGCTACACTCCCTTGTGTTATCTCTATCTTACAAACTCATAATGTACCAAAATGTACATTCTGAATAATGTAATGCTCTTAGGGTTGATTCCCCAGCTCACCGTGTCGTGTAGAGTTTAATATATTCAACATGTAGGTAACGTGTGACCAGCATTTTGTTACCTATGTATTGAATGTGCGGAACACTTTATGACACGACGAGGTGTGTCGGTGTGAATCCACCTTTAATTTTAAAGCGAGCTATTAGTATTTAAAAATGCCAAACGTCTTATACATTTTAAAATGAGCATAACTCCCTTTAAAATTTTAAATACAAAAAAAACCTAATCGAGATTCACTAGAAAATTTGATAATATGACAATTCACTCAAATATTAAATAGACAGAGTTAGCTAATTGATCATGTAGAATTGTAGAACGTTTATTATGCTAAGTTATATTGTGTTTGTAAGAAAGAGAGAGCTTGCGCTTGTAGATACAAGACTCCTCTGAGGATGCTACATCACGCGTTTGATGTCTCGTCTTTTAAGACGAAGGTCTTACCAACATAGCAAATTTTAGTTCACTATTTTGAATAGTATGCCGTTAGATTTGATATTGGAGTGAATTCAAGTAATATCAAACTTTTAGGTAAGAACATTATTTATGCTTAAGCGTCGGTGGATTTTCGATATTTTCATTTTCAAGTAAGATACGAGTTACCTATGTGAAATAACCCAAATAAAAAATGTTCATATCTCGCTTGAAAATTAAAGTATCCAAATATCCGCCGACGCTTAAACATAGATAATGTTCTTACCTAAAAGTTTGATAATAGGTCAATTCACTCTAATATCAAAACTAACAGCACACTATTGAAACTAGTGAACGAAAATGTTCTATGTCGTACGTGTGTAAGACGGAGACAACAAATGCACGGGACGGGTAGCGCCCACGTAAGACATGTATCAAGTTACAGTGTTTCACAGACTTATAAATATTAAAAGATATTGACAGAAATATTGATATTAAAAAAATTAGAATAAAGAAATAAAATTACTGTTACCCAGTAAAATACATACCTAGTTTACAACAGTTAAACATGTCCAAAGCAATTGTTTTAACTAGTTCAGTGGCGTGGCGACAAGATTTTATAGTAGGGGCTAATATATTTTTTTGGTACCCACCCACGTCTCACAGATTTGTATATCCCCCTCCCCACCATAATTGTATTACAAACCTCTAAAAAAGTTATTATTTTTATTTTTATTATTAACCAATTCTAAATAATAATAATAATAATAATAATAGTAAATAAGAATTCTAGAATAGTATACTGCAGTTGAATGACAAATGTCATAAAGGTAAATTAATATATTATTTACCCTTAGATATCACTCACTAACATAAGCACCCACCCACCCCTGGGTTGTACTAGGGGCGGTTGCCCCAAAAAATCTACTTCGCCACGCCACTGAACTAGTTAAAGTTAAGTTATCCTAAAATAAAAAATAACTAAGCTAAGTTAGTTACCAATTTTCATGAAAATAATAACTAAGTTAATTTAAAAGTTAAATTACTTTTTTTTAATATCTTCAACTTACTCATTAACGTTTTTTTTATTTCGTAGTATGAAAATAACTAGCTTTGGTACCTATAAGCCTATAAGGTAAAATAAATTAATAATAAAGGCACAGACTATATGATTTTATAAAATAAACAAATGTTATTATAATATTTTATTTACATCCCTGTATAATATTATAACTATTAAAGAACTGTAGAGTGTAGTTTGTAGAAAACACGGCAACGTGCTGTATACCTAGGTGGCTAGGTATAGATATCATATTATCATTGTATGTCTGTACCAGAAATTACTAATTATAGGTCCATTCTGGAAATTTTATTATTACCTATCAAGCATTAAATAAGTTATTTTATTTTTTAACTAGTTATTGCCCAGCTTTGCACATATCTTTATGAACTTAATTTGATTAAATAAATAGGTAGGTATGTTAATGTTTATGTATTAACTGTCTAGCTGTAACATTTATGTGAGTGTGTTATATGGTTCATTTAAGAATGTACCGTGTTTAAAGTGGCACACAATGGAAAGCGCCAATGGGTACTGTTGAGAGCCTTAATAAAATTAATTAAGGCTCTCTAGATAGGTACTGTGATTCATATTTTATTTTGTGCGTTCCATGTAATGTTTCCACCCACAACAATTCATTAATTTGTTCAATTACATTTTTTTCCTGGGAATATTAATTTATCACTTACCTAGTATAAATTAAAAAAATTAAATATAAAAAAATATATCATCTAAGAACATAAATTTGTGTTTCCTTTATGATTTAGGTAACTGCATTGATATTGCACGAAATGTTATTTATTTAATTATTTGCAAAGCTCATTAGGCTAAATATTTTTATTAATATTATTTTTATTTAACTAAGAAAAATGTACTTTTAAGTTATAATACTGAAAAAATGATAAAATGATACATTTTCTAAAATAAATAATTTATTTTAACGAAGAAGTTATTTTGATAAAGCTTTAATGCTTCAGCGTACGATCGTAAAGAATTAGTTTTTGGGGACTCCTTATACGTGCAGAGTTAGTGGAACTGAATTCAGCTGCGTCCCTCCCACTTTAACCCCTGATAATGAACATTCTAATTATTAAAATGAGGTATGGTATTCGCATAGGCGCAATTTGGAGGTGCTTAACACCCCCAATTTTGAAATTAACCTAACCAAATTTGTTCATACTAATTTACATTTTAATAGTTATTAATTTTGTTATGCAGGTATCAACAATCATAAGATATTATGAAAAAAGGGGCTTCAGCACCACCAGTTTTTTCATTGAAATTGAGCCCAGGCATTTGTATTCGGTAGATGGATGAGCATCATATAGGTAATTAATAATTATTTACTACCCTCAATATTTGAGCTCTAGTTGCGCTTGTAAGTAATCAACCATCACTCAGTAAGTACCTATTCACATTACCCGTAAACACTAATGCCTGCTATATCATACTATAGTGGTCCACACTCCACAAAGGTACTCACATGAGTTTTGGCAAAACTCCATGTCACGAAAATATTCTTTTCATCATCTTATACCAAAGCGGG